TGATTCATTTTTTTCCCCATTTAACAAGTACTTATTGTATTATTTCAGTCTTCTCATTATTTGGAAGACATTAAAAAATAAAACAGACATCCCTGGCCAGCATGGCTCAGTGGTTGTATGATTATCAGTGAAGGGCACTGCCTAGGTTGCAAGTTTGATCCCTAGCCTGTATCCAGGCACAAATGGGAGGCAAACAGTTAATGTGTCTCTCTCACATCAATGTTTCTCTCTTTCTCCTCTCTCTCTCCACTCCCCACCTCCTTACCACTCTCAATGGGAAAATATCCTAGGGTGTTTCTCTCCCTCTCTCTGCCCCCTCCTTCCTTCTCTTCCACTCTCTCTCTAAAACTCAATGGATAAATCTATAATAATAAAAACATAATATGCTAATTAGATTGGACATCCTTCTGGACAAAGCCACAGCAGTGGGAGGGGCCGGGGCCAAGGCCCTTGCACAAATTTATCATCGGGCCTCTAGTAAATAAATAAAATGTTACAAGTGAGACCTGGCCACAGAGCTTAGTTGGTTAGAGCATTGTCTGGATATGCCAAGGTTCCATCCCTATCAGGCACATACAAGAAGCAACCATGCCTGGCTGGCATGACTAAGTGGCTGAGCATCGACCTATGTACCAGGAGGTCACGGTTAGATTCCCAGTTAGGGCACATGCCTTAGTTTTTGGCTTGATCCCCACTGGGGGCATGCAGGAGTGGGCTATCGATGATTCTCTCTCATCATTGATGTTTTTATCTCTCTCTCTCCCTCCCTCTCCCTTTCTCTCTGAAATCAATAAAAATATATTTTTAAAAAAGAACTCTTAAAACACACCAATAAGCAAACAACCCAATTTTAAAAGGGCAAAAAATTTGAACAGACACTTCACTAAAAAAGGCATATGGATGGCAAATAACCACATGGGAAAATGCTCAGCATTAGTCACTAGGGAAATGCAAATTAAAATGATAATGAGATGCCATAATGCACCTATCAGAGTGAATAAGATAAAAAGATTGACCAGTCTAAGTGTTGACAAGGATGCACAGAACTGGAACTCATATACTACTGGTGGGAAAAGTAAAATTGTACCACTTCGTAATACTATTTGTTAATGTCCTAAAACTGTGGTCAGCAAATTGCAGCTCAAGAGCCACATTTGGCTCTTTGGCCCCTTGAGTGTGGCTCTTCCACAAAATACCACGGCCTGGGCGAGTCTATTTTGAAGAAGTGGCGTTAGAAGTTTAAAAAATTTGGCTCTCAACAGAAATTTCAATGTTGTACTTTGATATTTGGCTCTGTTGCCTAATGAGTTTGCTGACCACTGTCATAAAAAGTTAAACATATGATCTAACCATTCTACTCCTAGGTAGTTACCCAAGAGAAATGAAAACATATGTCCATAGAAAGACTTGTACATGCATGTTTCTTTATAATAACTACCCCCCCCCCATTCCTAATCCCTGGCAACCACTATTCTGTCCTCCATCTCTAAAATGTTGTCATTTCAAAAATGTCATATTAGTAGAATCAATACTGATGTATTCCTTTGGGATCAGCTTTTTTTTTTTTTTTTTTTTTTTTTTTTTTCACAAAGCATAAAATTTCCTAGAGATTCAGCCAAGTTGTAGCATGTATAAACTGTTCATTTCTTTCTACTGCTGAGTTATATTCTGTGGTATATACTTATACTGTAATTTATTTTTATGGGTCATTTTAAAATACAAAATGATTATCATTATCTGCTGCTTGCAAAGGGCAACAATAATTTATTTTGCAGTTGTTGGGTGGCATGTTCTCTAAATATTATGACATATAACATGCAAAGTATGTGTTAATTGACTGTTTATGTTATAAGTAAGGCTCCCAGTCAATAGCAATTTAAGTTTTGGGGAGTCAAAAGCTATACATAGCCAGGACCGGTTTGGCTCAATGGATAGAGCGTCGGCTTGGGGACTGAATGGCCCTGGGTTCGATTCCGGTCTAGGGCATGCATGTACCTTGGTTGCGGGCATGTCCCCAGTAGGGGGTGTGCAAGAGGTAGCTGATCGATGACTCTCTCTCATTGATGTTTCTAACCCTCTATCTCTTTCCCTTCTTCTCTGTATAAAAATCAATAAAATATATATATTTTTAAAAAAAGCTATACATGGATTTTCAACTGTGTGGGGTTCGGTGCCCCTAATCTCCATATTGTTCAAAGGTCAACTGTAGTTGTTTGTCTATCATCTGGTTATTTTTTGCTATCTGTACTTGTGTCATTTATTTCTGACTTCTTCTGGATTGAGGACATTTTAAAAGCCCATTTTATCCCCTCTCTTGGGTTTTTATATCCACATTTTTTTTGGTGGTTGCTCTAAGAATTACAATATAAATTCCTAACTCATTCCAATGTTCCCTGAATTAAAATTATACCTCTTCATGTACTAGTATAATGTGAGAACCTTACAACAGTATAAATGGATTGGCATCCCTCTCCACTTGTTATAAAACTAACAATATATTGTTATTATTTTAAAATAGTTATTTGTAGCCGAAACCGGTTTGGCTCAGTAGATAGAGTGGTGGCCTGCAGACTGAAAGGTCCAGGGTTCGTTTCCGGTCAAGGGCATGTACCTTGGTTGCGGGAACAATCCCAGTAGGGGGTGTGCAAGAGGCAGCTGATTAATGATTCTCTCTCATCGATGTTTCTAACTCTATCCCTCTCTCTTCCTCTCTGTAAAAAGTCAATAAAATATATTAAAGAAATAAATAAATAAAATAGTTATTTGTATTTAAATTTTAAAGGATTTTTAAAAAGTCTTCCATGCATAAATGAGAGAAATATCAATCAGCTGTCTCCTAGACAAACAACTACAGTTGAGATGTGCCCACAACCAAGGTACATGCTCTTAACCGGAATTGAACCTGGGCCCCTGAGTCCATAGGCCGACACTCTATCCACTGAGCCAAACCAGTTCGTGCAATCATGTGAAATCTTTTTTTAAAATATATTTTATTGATTTTTTACAGAGAGGAAAGAGGGATAGAGAGCCAGAAATGTTGATGAGAGAGAAACACCGACCAGTTGCATCTTGCACACCCTCCACTAGGGATGTGCCCACAACCAAAGTACATGCCCTTGACCGGAATCAAACCCAGGACCTTTCAGTCCGCAGACTGACGCTCTACCACTGAGCCAAACCGGTTTCGACCATGTGAAGTCTTTAGTACAGAATCTGGAACCTGATGAGTTACCCACGTTAGGTATTGTGGTCACAGCCCTGCCCTCAAACATTTTTCCCAACTCCCTTTCCAGCTTCAGTTCATTTGCCGAGAGGTTTGGCTCCTGTATGTTGCTGGATATTCAGGAATGTGACCTCATTTTGCAGAGTGGCACTGGCTTTCACATTTGGCCTCCCAGGAAGGGATGTCCGGCCTCAGACACTAGCAGGTAGATCCTAGGGACTTGCCACCTGCTCTCTCAGTTTTCAGGGCCACGTGGCTTTCTCTGGTGCTTTCCTGTCCACCTAGTGGCCTGCTGGGGTCAGAGAGGCAAGATGGGTGAGGCCTGGCTTCCAAGGAGCTCACGCCTGTGTGGGGAGAAGACACAGAAGGCACAACTACAGCGCTCCCAGCTCAGGGAAAGACTGCCAGATGCTCCTATGCTCAGGATCCCCCCGGGAGCACCTGGACCCTGCATCCACCTGGATCAGCTGAGAGTCTCCCTGACATTGATGATGCGAGGCTAGAACACTGAGGGGCGGATGGGAGGTAGCAAGACAGACAGTGAGCATTTAAGAATGCTTGAAGCCAAAACCGGTTTGGCTCAGTGAATAGAGCGTTGGCCTGTGGACTGAAAGGTCCCAGGTTCAATTTCTGTCAAGGGTATGTACGTTGGTTGCGGGCACATCCCCAGTAGGAGATAGCTGATGGATGTTTCTAATTCTCTCCCTTCCTCTCTGTAAAAAGTCAATAAAATATATTTTAAAAGCCCAGCACATTACTGGAAGTCCACTCCTGGTCCACTCCTGAGAGATCTAAAAACCTTCAATCCACAAGGCATCCAAGACCAAACTCTCTCCCTTGAATTCAAAGCCCTTCTTACTTTCCACCCCTCCTCCCCACCCCCATCCATCCACTCCGATGGTTTCCTGTTCTCCACACCGGCCATTCTGGGTCTGGCCTCCAGGCCTTTGCCCAGGCTGCTCCCTCTGCAGGGAATGTTCTAATCTCCACTGAGCTACCTCCCTCTCATCTTCCAAAACCCAACTCGGGGGCCATCTCCACTAGAAGCCCTTCCAGGAGGAGTCCGGGGCTACCCCTTAGAAACCAGCCCGTTACTTTTGCTGAATAATTATTATAGTTCACCATGCCAAGGAGCCATCCCCTGTGGCTTGCGACACGCCCCCACCCTCCGCACACCTTGGCCCGTGCTTTGCTAAATTAGCTTCTTGAGGCAGGCGTCCGTTCTGATGCTCTTTCTTCCGTGTCTAACACTGTGCCTGTCCCACAGGACGGTCCCAGGGCGTGTTTGTTGAATGAATAAACGATCGGCATGCCATTTCACATGGTATGTATCTTGCCCGCTTCTCCGCCTCTAACCCAGCTCCCGTCTGCAGGCCCGTAGCGCACGGCGCCAGGAGCACCGTCCCCTCCCCGCGCCCGGGGCCGCCGCCGAGGCCGGGCTGAGCCCGCCCCGCCCAGCGCGGTGCGGCGGGGATTGGTGCCACCGCCGCGGAGGCGGGGACTGGCCGGTGGCGCTGACGCCGGCTCCGCAGAAAAGCCCCGCGGGCTGGCGGGCGGCGCAGACGGCGCGGCCGGCGGGTGAGTGCGTGGCGGGCGGGGCGCGGGAGCGGGACGCCGGGCACCGAGGCGCGGCCCGCGTCCGCCGCACCACGTGTGTGCGGGAGCCCAGGGCAGCTCCTCCCCGGGACCCCGCCTCGGGGCTCAGGAGGTTGTCCCTCCCGTCTTGTCTTCCAGACCCGGAGGATCGAGGCTCCCGGACGACGAGGAACCACCCAACATGGCATCGGAGGTGAGGGGCCCTCGGGGACGCGGTCCTGCAGGGCGAGGGGGAGGGGCGCCCGGCGCCGCACCCGCCCCGGCCGCCCTCCCGGGAAGGGTCCTCTCTGGCTCCAGGCTGTGGGCACCTGCCAGGGCCTGGCAGAGCCCTGCGCCCCTCCCCAGAGCCTGTGGGGCAAACCCACCAAAGCACACTGCCCGGGAAGGCGGTCCTGACCTCACCTGCTGCCGAGGCTGTTGTCCCCCAGTAGCAGAATCCGCATGACTGGCTGTGGCAAGAGCCAGCAGGTGGGGGACCTTGCCCTGTGGCCCCAATGGCCCCTGTGCCCAAGCTTCCTCCCTGCCCTAGAGCCAGGGGGCTCCTGGTTGTCTTCCTGACCAGAGCGGCAGGAGTCTGAGGCACAGGCTCCTTTTCTGTGCCCTCGTTGATTTGTCTGGCAAATGGGGGGGGGGGGGTGTGTGACGTTGTCTGCCTCCCCCAGGAAGGGACTAGATTATGAAGTCATGGCCTGGAAGCCTTCAGGTAAAAGGGACTGTTTGCTTGCTGTCATCGGACCTGGGAAGCAGGAGATGTGGGATTCAGCCCCTCCGGGCCCTCATTAGCTGGCAAATCACTTTCTCCTTTGGGCCTGTTTGTGCATCTGAATAAATGGGACAAGAATGCCAGCTTCCAGGTCCTGGTGGAGGGCTGGGGGCAGGGCCCGGACTTTGGAGCCCAAACCAAACAGACTTGGTTTCTGAACAGTCCCTCGACCTCCCTGAACCTCTTTCCTCGTTTATAAAACAGGAGTGACAGGGCCCACCTCGTAGGAGGTGTGACAGCACATACAGCATGCCTCGGCAGGGCCAGGGAGCAGGAGGTGCTCAATACGTGGTGGCAGACTGTACTCACAGCAACATCTCAGCCCAGCCCAGTGCCCCCGCCCCTGGCCCTAACGGGATCCTCTGGCCCGATGTTCGCTGCCTTAGCGCTTCCCTCTCCCACCACCCTGGGCTTTCCCGGTGCCCAGGCTGTGGCACCTCCTTTCGGAATTTTCCTGGGGTTCTCTTTTTTTTTTTTTTAATATATTTTATTGATTTTTCACAGAGAGGAAGAGAGAGATAGAAAGTTAGAAACATCGATGAGAGAGAATCATCGATCAGCTGCCTTCTGCACACCCCCTACTGGGGATGTGCCCGCAACCAAGGCACATGACCCTGCCCGGAATCGAACCCGGGACCCTTCAGTCTGCAGGCCGACGCTCTATCCACTGAGCCAAACCGGTCCCGGCTCCTGGGGTTCTTTTAAGCCTGCCAGTGAGGTGGGAGCTTGGCCCCAAAGCAGAACAGGCTGTTGACCTCTGCTTGCCCTCAGGCCGTCCTGTGGGTTTGGACTAATTGGTTTGGCTGCAGCCCCACTTGTTAAGTAGTTGTTATTACTAACAACCGTGGTGGGGAGTTAGGGACCTGCTGGGAGAGGTGGAGCCAGGCCTCCGGCTGAGGGGCAGGCTGGCTCCCCATCCTTACCGGCTGGCCCTGGCCCTCTGGCCCCAACAGTTAGGACGGGGACTCCGTGTTTTGGTGGAGATCAAGGTTTGCTGGGGCAGCAGAGGGTAAGGGGCGAGCCCAGTTCCAAAGGCTGAGGAGGGCGGAGGCAGCTTCTGCAAGGGGCCAGGGCTGCTGGGCACAGAGGGGTCAGCTCACCGCCTGGGCCTGAGGTTGGCGGAAGCCCCCTGGTGCACACAGGAACCAAGCTGAGGCACAGCCTGGCCCACGCAGCCCTCGGCTGCTCCCTTAGCAACACCTAGACTTTACTGAGTCCTTCCTGAGAGGCAGGCACCGTGCTATGTGTGCGCTTGGCAAATTTTATCAAATCGATAGAGGGGCAATCCTGAGGCTGGGAGAGGTTATATAACGTGCCCACGGACAGCTGACTCGCAGAGGTACGAGACATTGCAGAGGGACAGGGGAGGACATGTCCCCAGTGGCCGTTTAAACCCCACTCCAGGGGAAAGATGCCAGAGATTACCATGCACACCTCCACCTTGGCTCACTCTCTTTTTCATCATTGGCACTCTGGCTGCTCGGGCTGCTTCAAACGTGTTCTGCACCCCTCCCCCACCTGCCCCATGCCCTGGCCTATGCCCTCTTTCAAAACAGAGATGCCTCTGCCCCACCTCTCTGCCCTTGGCTCCTGGGGGCAGAGGGGCAGCTCGTGACCTCCCGAAGGCCTGCGATGACCGGGGTGTCATGTCGGAGGTGCTCTCCAAAGACGTTCCGGGGATGGGACCGGAGGTTCTGCCCCGAGCTCTGGGAGGGAGACGCAGGAGACGTGAGCCTGGTGGGCCCTCGGTGCCCCCTTGCTGCAGAAGTTCTGAACAGCAGCGCCAGCAGAGGTCCCGGCGGACCGTGGGTGCAGAGTGTGGCGGGCTAGCTGCCTTCACACTGCGGGCCTGCAGCCCTGGAGCCCCGGCGAGGGCCAAAGACACATCGCTGCTCTGTGCTTCAGTTTCCCCCTCTCTGTACCGGATAGATCGGCGCCTGCTTCAGAGGGTCGCTGCCAGTGCATGCCCAGCATTTACAACAACAGAGCCTGGTACACGGAGGTGTTACCAGGATTGCTATCATGATCCCTGGCACCTCAGAGCGGATTCCAGCTCTGGGTTCCACCCTGGTCGGTGGCAGGAGAGGCCCCCGAGGTTCGCCGCGGTCTCAGGGGTCCTTGCGCCCTGGAGCCGTGCCAGGTGGTGGGAAGAGCCCTAACCTCACCGTCCAGCCACCGCCCCGCACTCACTCCGCGGGCACGTGCCTGCCTCTCTCTGAGCCTCAGTTTCCTTACCTGTCCAGCGAGAATACCCCTGCCGGCCGGCTGCCACTGCCATCACACTGACAGCCCTCCCGAGGGCCCTTCGGGCGAGGCGCTGCCCTGGAGGTCGGGGCAGGGCGGGGAGAGTAATTGCTGCTGCTCTCCCCCCAGAGCGGGAAGCTATGGGGCGGCCGCTTTGTGGGCGCTGTGGACCCCATCATGGAGAAGTTCAATGCGTCCATCGCCTACGACCGGCAGCTGTGGGAAGTGGATGTGCAGGGCAGCAAGGCCTACAGCCGGGGCCTGCAGAAGGCCGGCCTCCTCACCAAGGCCGAGATGGACAAGATCCTCCAGGGCCTGGACAAGGTACGGCTCACGCCCCGAGGTCCTTCCGAGGGCCCCTTCCTGTGGCCTCGGGCTCCCAGAAATCCCCAGCACAGGCTGCAGTGTCACCCTAAGCCTCACAGCCCTGGAGAGGTGCCCTTTGCCCCTGCACAGAGCTCCCTGTCTCTCTCCATCCCCAGTGCCCCGTGGCCCCATGGCTCAGGGCAAAGGTGCAGGGGGCCTGAGAGGCTCCGTGGGTGGGGGCTGCACAGGGCCCCCCCCCCCCCCAGGAGCACTGCCAGGACTCAGCTCCAATCCAGGGACAGCCAGTGATCAGGGTGTGGGTGGGAGCAGGCCTGGCCCTCGTGGCTGCCCGTGCCTGCCAGCCTGACCTCTGGGTGGCTGCCCTGCACCACAGGTGGCTGAGGAGTGGGCCCAGGGCACCTTCAAACTAAATCCCAACGACGAGGACATCCACACAGCCAACGAGCGGCGTCTCAAGGTATGATCCCGTCCTCCCGCCCCCTAACCCCCGCCTTCCCTCTCCCCTTGCCCTGGGCCTCTTGCAGCGTAGGCAGCAGGGTTCTGTTCACTTCGTCCTTGGCAGAGTTTGGGCGGGACTTCAGAACAGGAGGCCTTGGCAGAGACTTGGGGCAGAACCGGGGCCCCTGGGGCAGGGAGGGAGGACTCCAGGGCAGGGAGGACTCCAGGGCACGGGGGCGGACCCCACTGGGCTTGGGCAGACCCTGACCCGTGCCTCCTGCACCCCTAGGAGCTCATTGGTGAGACCGCAGGGAAGCTGCACACCGGACGAAGCCGGAACGACCAGGTGCGACCAGCCCTCCCCACCCTGTGCTTCCCGGCCAGCCTCCGGGAGCTCTGACAGTAGAGTTGGGGCTCAGGAGCTGTCCTGGCTCCCCAGGGGAGTCACACGTCTGTCCGTCCGTCCGTCCGTCCGTCTCCCTGAGTGCCCATCTCCCCGCAGGTGGTCACAGACCTCCGGCTGTGGATGCGGCAGAACTGCTCCACGCTCTCCGGCCTGCTCCGGGAGCTCATCCGGACCATGGTGGACCGGGCAGAGGCGTGAGTCCCCCGGGGCGCCGGCTGGCGGAGGGGGCACAGGGCAGCCAGGTCTCTTCCCCCTGAGACAGGCAGCTTGAACGCCAGCCCCAGGAGGCCCCGGGGAAGGGGGTAGGGGAGCCAGGCCTTGGGGTGCTCTGGGACCCCCGGACTGAGTGAGCAGAGCAGCAGGAGGGGCGTTTCCTGCAGGGTGCCTTACCCCACGGCAGGTAAGGAAGCTAAAGCACTCAGGGCAGATGCCCCGAACCCGAGGACGGGGGCTGGCCGTGCCTGGGGCAGACGGAGCCGCTCCCCAGCCTCCTGGGCCCCTCGTCCCCATTTCTGCCCAGCACGCCGGCAAAGGACAGAGCCGCAGGCTGCCTCCCACCTGCCTCAGCCCCAGGCCTGGGCTCCCGAGAAGCCCCTGTTTGGTGTCAGGGACAGGGCTGAGCCCCCCTTCTCCCCTGGGACCCCTGTTTCACAGACCACATCTCCTGGGGGCACACCAGGGCACAAGCACCATCACCCTGGGGGGCCGGAGGCGTACAGAGGGACTGCTGAGGAGGCCTGGCCTTCTGTGTTGGGGCAGTGACAGGTTCTAACATTGATGGGGTGATGGTCGTACACTTCAAATGAGAGAACCGTACGTGAACCATCACCTCAGAAATGTTTACTGAAAAAGCAAACCAGAACCACCACCCGCAGCACTCTGCCCCTGCCCCGCCCGCTCGGAAGTGCCCCCCCCCCCCCCCCGCCCTCTGGGCTCCTGGGGAGCTTCTCGCTCGCAGACATGGGTCCCGCTGCCAGGTGGCACCTGCTGTGCTGTGAGCTGCAAAGCCCCAAGCTGAGGGTCTGATCCACGGTTGGTCTTGAGTCTGTTCCCTTACAACGACTTCTCCCCGGGAGATCACTCGACCCCTCGTGTGGGTAGCGCCTGGCAGACCCGCCCTGCAGCACTCTGGAGGGGCCGGGCCTGCAGGCCCTCAGGCCCCTGCCCCCGCTCTCCCCACAGGGAACGTGACATCCTCTTCCCAGGCTACACACACCTGCAGAGGGCTCAGCCCATCCGCTGGAGCCACTGGATCCTGAGGTGCGCGGGGCGGTGAGGGAGGGGCGTGAGGGAGGGGAGGCCCCCTGGCCGCCCTGACCCTCCCCTGCCCGGCCTCCCACAGCCACGCCGTGGCCCTGACCAGGGACTCCGAGAGGCTGCTGCAGGTGCAGAAGCGGATCAACGTCCTGCCCCTGGGGAGGTGAGTGAGGTCCCGGTGCTCCGAGGGCGGGGACAGGGTGCCTGATGGTGAGCGTGGCCCCTGGGGACTGACAGGAGAGGAGCCAGCAAGGACCCAGGGGCCTGGCCTTCCCATCCAGCGTCCTTCCTGCACAGGCGGGCGGGGTCTTGCAGGGGCACCCCGTTCTCCCTGAGGGGTGGACAGCCACGCTAGAAAATGTGCCAGAGCAGGGCCAGAGCTCCCGGAGAGGCCCCTGAGAGCCGGCCAGGTAGCCCCAGCCTGCCGTTCCCTGCACGGGGACAAGTGTCAGGCGCCAAGCTGACTGGCCGTGGCCCTGGCAGCCGGGGCGCTGCTCTGGGTGTGTACGTGCCAGGGCCTGCTTGCCGGGAGCCCTGGTCACTCTGAACCCCCTGCCCCTGCAGTGGGGCCATTGCAGGCAATCCTCTGGGCGTGGACCGGGAGCTGCTCCGAACAGGTAAGCCCTCCGCCGGGCCCCGGGACATCACCGTCAGCTTCTGCCCGGGCCTTGCAGAGAGAGGGCGGGGGTCTGAGTGGACCCCGTTACCTGTGGGCGCTGGCGTCAGAGGGGCAGGGGAAGGCCTGTGACGGGGGGCTTGGCCCTGGGTGCACGCAGGGCTCCTGCCTCCCTCTGGGACCTGGACAGGAGGCCTCCCCTCTCCTCGCCCCTCCCTACTCCTCCTCCCTGCATGGGGGCCACGGGGAGTGTCGGGAGCCGCCCGTTGTCCTCACTGGCAGAGAGTGTGGACAAGGAACCCGGAAGGCTGGTCAACCTCGAAGCTCTGAGAGGTCAGAGCCAACCACCCACTGTCTGGTTGAGACAATGGTAGCTAAAGCAACCTGCATCCTTTCATCTTACGTAAATCCTTGCTGGTTGGCTATTCCTGGCTGGATCCCATAAAAGGGACAGCAAGACCAGAGCAAGGCGAGACCTCCCCCTTGAGTTGAGCTTCCGCCTGGCCCCCAATATCGCCAAAATAATACTTTCTAGTCTCTTTCATTTGTGTGCCGCCTCCTGCAGAACCCTAACCCTGAACCTGCACCCTGACCACCGGGTCAGTGGGGGCAGGGGGACGCTCCCAACTGGGGCCCAAACGTGGGGCTCTCACAGGGGAGGTGGCTGGGCAGCCTGGTTCTGGGTGGCGGAGGCCCATCCTTGTCCACAGCTCAGCCTCACTGCCTTCCCCCTCTGCCCCTTGTCCAGAACTCAAATTCGGGGCCATCACTCTCAACAGCATGGATGCTACCAGTGAGCGAGACTTTGTGGGTGAGTCCTGGGGGCCAGCCCACTCACCCCCTGCACAGCGCACCGCCCCTGCCCCCCATCCCAGTCCCCTCCAGCCGCCCCCCATTCCCAAATGGTGCCCCTGGAGCCCTCCAGGCGGGGGAAGAGCAAGAGAGGCCTGGTGACCCGAGAGCCTGCTTTCCCTCCCCGGCTCCCCCCACAAGCCGAGTTCCTGTTCTGGGCCTCGCTGTGCATGACCCACCTCAGCAGGATGGCTGAGGATCTCATCCTCTACGGCACCAAGGAGTTCAGCTTCGTGCAGCTCTCCGACGCCTACAGGTGAGGCCGCGGGCCGGCCCGCCCGGCTCTGCGCCCCCACGTGGCTTCCTCCCTCGGCGCCCCGGCCAGCAGCGCGGCCAGGGCCAGAGGAGCCCCCTCAGCCCAGCGTCTCTGTCCCCAGCACTGGGAGCAGCCTGATGCCCCAGAAGAAAAACCCCGACAGCCTGGAGCTGATCCGCAGCAAGGCGGGCCGCGTGTTCGGACGGGTGAGACGGGCGGGGTCCTGGGGAGCTTGCAGGACGGGCTCCGGGTCCAGCCTCCTGACTCTCCCTCTGCCCTCAGTGTGCTGGGCTCCTGATGACCCTCAAGGGACTTCCGAGCACCTACAACAAGGACTTACAGGTGTGAGGCGGTGGCGGCGGCAGCGGCAGCGGAGGGACCCCTCTGCATACACGCCCCGGCCCGGTTCTCAGGGCCCGGCCCTTCCAGGCAGAGGCCCCACAGAGTTGCCACCTTCCATCCCAACCCTGACCGCCCTGAGCACGCTCTCCCCTCCCTCGGGGTGGGGGTGGGCGTGCTGAGGGCTCCCAGTGGGAAGAGTGGGGATGCCTCGTGAGGGACGGGGCGCTGAGCCCTCACCCCCTGCCATGTGCCCCCTCCCAGGAGGACAAGGAAGCCGTGTTTGAGGTGTCGGACACCATGGGGGCCGTCCTCCAGGTGGCCACCGGCGTCATCTCTACGTTGCAGGTGAGACATGCCTCTTCTCTCCGGCCCCTGAGCTCTGGGACGGGCAGAGGGGACATGAGAGGAGCTGCGGTGGGCGGTCCAGGAGCCCGGGGCAGAGGGCGGGGGCAGTGCCTGGCCCTGCCTTTGAGGGACAAAACCAGGAAATGTTAGACTCAAGGAGTCCCATCCCCTGGCCCAGGGGTCGGCAAACTCGTTAGCCCACAGAGCCAAACATCAACAGAACGACGATTGACATTTCTTTTGAGAGCCACATTTTAAAAACTTAAGCTCTATAGGTAGGTACATTGTTATTAACTTAATGAGGAAGGTGCTCCTAAGCTGGCCTTTGCTAAAAACTCAAGGGGCCAAAGAGCTGCATGTGGCTCTCGAGCCGCAGTTTGCTGACCACTGACCTGGTCTGACCAGATCTCTTTTCATTATGGGACATTCCATTATGCAGCAGCTGGGAACGTGTGTAAGGGACCCCTGGGTACCAACACCCGGCTTCAGCCATAGCCACCTCGTGGCCGTTCCTGGTTTGGCAGCTGTCTTCGCCCACCCCCTTAGTGGAACCAGATCCCCATCTGCGTAGCATGTCCACCCTAACTAGTTGGGGTGTGTCTAACGCGGTGGTTCTGGGACCCGCAGCGTCAGCATCCCCCGGGAACTTGGGAGAGTGCGATGCTGGGCCTCCTTCCAGTAACACAGGGTCCGACTCCGGGGATGGGGCCCGGCGTCTGTCTTTGGAATAAATCCCGCAGGGGATTCTGATGTGCACTGAGGACAAGGACTCTGGAAACGTAACGGCAGCCTCTGTAGCACCCCTAAAAATTACCCATAATTACGAAAAGACGGCTCGAGCCGGAGAGAGCCAGCAGGGTGGGAAAGAGTGGCTCTGCCCAGGGCGGGAGACATACTGGCTGAGGGGTAGGCTGGGAGCTGGCAGCTTCGGGCCCCCAAGACTCACTACTTCCCCACCCACATCCCCAGATTCACCGTGAGAACATGGTGCAGGCTCTCAGCCCTGACATGCTGGCCACTGACCTCGCCTACTACCTGGTCCGCAAAGGGGTGAGTGTGGGGGGCTGGGCCGGAGGGGCCGGGGGAGGGGTGGTTAGGGAGGCACGGGTGCCCACAGCAGGGCAGGGAGCTGGGACACCCGCCTCAGTGCTGCCCTCCGCTCGGACCCGCAGATGCCATTCCGCCAGGCCCACGAGGCCTCTGGGAAAGCGGTGTTCATGGCGGAGACCAAGGGGGTCCCCCTGAACCAGCTGTCGCTGAAGGAGCTGCAGACCATCAGGTGCGGCCCCTCTCCTCCTCTCCCCTCCCTCCGCTGCCCCCCCGGGCCCAGAGGCTGCGGGGCTGGGCAGTGCTAGCCCGTCTCCTTCCTTCCCAGCCCCCTGTTCGCGGGCGACGTGAGCCAGGTGTGGGACTACGGGCACAGCGTGGAGCAGTATGCTGCCCTGGGCGGCACCGCCCGCTCCAGTGTGGACTGGCAGATCAGCCAGGTGCGGGCGCTGCTGCGGGCACAGCAGGCCTAGGCCCCCCACGGCCCCCAAATAAAGTGCCGCCTGTCTCCTGCCGAGCCTGACTCCCTCCCCGGGGCTTTCTGGGGTCTGCTGGGAGGCAAGGGAGGTCATCGAGGAGGTGGAGACACTGGACAAGGATGGCGATTCACAGTGGGCATGGCGTCTCATCAGAGCCTCTGCCCTGCTCAGACCCCTCTTCCCTTCACTGGGGGGGAGGGGAGGGGGCCATCACAGTGACCTCCGGTCCGGGTGTCTCGGCACGACCAGCCTCTCTGGAGCCCTGTTGGGACCTGACGGGCTTCGTTCACCAGTCAGTCCCTGTCTATCTCCTTCCTCCGGTGTCCCCGAGGCTCCCCACTCCCGTTCTCCCCGCTGAGCCCACCCCCATCGGGCACAGTTGCAGGGTATTGTTGTCCGGAGGGGATAGTTGGTGTGCGAAGCTTCATACACAGGTTAAGGAGCACCTTCTCCAACGGGGCAAGGATACTCTAGTCAATAAATGGTGTTGGGAAAACGGGACAGATACATAAAAAAATAAAAAATAAAAATAAAAGGTCATTAAAGCACCTTCTTGCAGCATATATAAGAGTAAACTCAAAATGGATTAAAGATGTAAATGTAAGACATGAAACTTCTGAAAGAAAACTCTCACATTGCTCTTACTAATATGTTTTCTGATCTGTCTCCTTGGTTGAGGAGAACAACAACAACAAAAATAAACAAACGGGACCACATCACACTAAAAAGTTTTTGCACAGCCAAGGGAACAATCAACAAACAAAAAGACAGCCTGCTGAGTGGGAGAATATATTCGCCAACGATACATCTGATAAGGATTTGGAGGGGACGCCATTCCACGCACTCGCCGTGCTTTCCCTTCCATTTCTAATCTGAAGAGCACGCTCCCGGACAGATGAGATGGGATTAAAACAAGCTGCAGGCAGTTCGTCTCTGTCCTTATCTCAAACCCAACTTAAACTCTTATCATTTTAGCTCCTTTTTGTGTTTTTCCCGCTCCGGCCCTCTTACTCTAAGCCAGGTCTCCATGTGCCTCCGGCCTTCGTTCCTGCGCCCGCTCAGCCGGAGCACGTCCTCCCCACCCTCCGAACTCACTTAAAATTGTCCAAGAGGATGTGGAGGTTTCCAGAGCCATCCTCTAACTTAGAGCATCTACTTGGCTAACGCTGCAATTGGCACTAAACAGCTCACTCTGGTCACGTTCTAGAGCTGTACGAGTCCCCCCAATATTTGAGACAAAGGGTTTTTGCTGGGGACAGGGGCTGCTGGGAGAGTGGCTGCCCTCTAGATGTGAACTCCGGAGTGGGTCAGTGTGACAAGCTTCCTCCTTGACAAAGAGGAAGAGGCTCCGAGTTGACAAAGCAGAGCTTCCACATACCACCTAAGCAGACGCCTGTCCCGTGGCTGACCTTGCAGAATATCCCCACAGGAAGTATCTGTGGCTCCCTAGGCCTGGCCTGTTGGCAAGTGCCTCCACTCACACACACACTCTCTCTCTCTCTCTCTCTGTATGTGTATGTGTGTGTGTGTGTGTGTGTGTGTGTGTGTGTGTGTTTGTGTGTGTGTATCAGAGAGGAAGCGAGAGGGAGAGATAGAAACATCAATGATGATAGAGAATCACTGATTGGCTGCCTCCCGCGTGCCTCACACTGGGAATTGAGCCCACATATGCCCTGACAGGGAATCAAACCATGACCTGGTTCATAGGTCCATGCACAACCACGGAGCCACGCCAGCCAGGCAAATGCCTCATCTTTAGCTTTTGCTCCAATAACCGCTGCTTCCCCTAGCAGATGGGGCATTCCTCTCTTTCCTTCACTCTTGCCCCTTTGCGTGACCTCTGGTCCTCAGGCATCTTTCCTACAGACAGGGCAGCCCTGCAGTCTGGAAATGGGGCAGGAGACAGCCCTGACCATCCAAGGCCCAGCCTTTTGCATCTCAAAGCTGAGCTCTGACCCCAGGGCAGGCAGGACCTGGAGATCAGGGGCCTGGATGGTAAAACTTCAATTAGAGTTCAAAATGTCCTGATTCCCTCCGTGGCTATTTGCATTCCTTTTCACTTTGTTTCCTTGAGAAATAGAGCCTCGGAGCTTCTCTCTGGGGAAGGGAGAATAAAATTTAACTGGATTTGCTATAATGTCCTGCTAATCTTCAAAAACGTATAAAATCACGAGGCTAAAAACACGGATTCCAACTAATTGTGGTACAAAGCAAAGTTACATTGTAAACACACTTAATTTCAAAATATGTAAGAGGTAAGAGACCACACAAATGGTCTCTTACCCCTTACATATATAATTTATTTTTGTGAAACATCCATAATGGCAAATTTATGTAGACAAAAAGATTAGTGGTTGCTTAGGGCTGGGTGTGAGGAATAGAAAGATAGATAGCTAATAGGTACAGAGTAGTTTTTATCCTTATTGAAAAGTGAGAATATTTTTTTCATTGATTTTGTAGAGCGGAAGGAAGGGAGAAGGGGAGGGGGGCGCAAGAGAGAAACATCATTGGTTACCTCCCACTTGTGCCCTGACCAAGGCCTGGGATTGAACCTGCAACCAAGGCATGAGGTATGACTGGGAATCAAACCCTCAGCCCTTCAAGGGATGGTGCTCCTACCACTGAGCACCAGTTTGGGCGGGTACAGTTTCTTGATGAGGTTATTTTGCAAGGGACTCAGCCTCGTTGGAAATAACAGGAAGAGTTGACAAACTGGAGAAGAGAAAGAAACTGGCCATAGTTCACACAGTCTGTAGTCAAGGCACGCGGTTGAGGATGAGCCTTTGTGACAGGATGAGGTCAGTGAATGCTCACTTCGCTATCAACGTCTCTGTTCAGGAGAGTGGGCTCTTGTTGAAATCGGATAACTTTTTGTATATAAAAAAAAAAAGTCTAGGGGGGGGGGGAGATAAAATCTACCTGTAGTGTTCATATGGGGCCAAGCATTGTTCGTTCAATATATCCCTCCCAAAAAGTTAGTGGCATTGAACTTGTATCAACCTCAGCTGCTTAGATTCAGCAAGCCACCGCAGTGAAACACCAAGGATATCAGGAAAATGTTAGATGTTATCTCTCTCTCTCTCTCTGAAAAAGAAACCAATCAGCGAGCCCATGTATAAGATCTAAGAGTTGTCTTGCTGCAAAGAAGATGGTAGATGACTCTCAAAACCTACTTGTCATATTTTAAAAATGCAATGACATTTCTCTATTGGAAAAAGTGTAAAAGGAAGTCTAAACTTGTCTTCCAGTCAGCTGAGCGTCCTGTGACTTGCTTGTGGTGCAGAAGGCAGTAATCCTCCCATCTCTGCAGGGACATTGTGTTTTGCTGCATCCCTCCAGCAGGGGGAGCACAGTCTATTATTTCCTGTCCTAGACGCCAGAAGGTCCTTTCAGTGCAGGGCAATCTGGGGAAGAAGTGATGCGCCATCAACAATGGTAAATGTAGTTTTGCATGTGTTACTTTAGGTAAGTCACTCCACCTCTCTAAGTTTCCTCGTCTGTGGCAGAGAAAGAATAACTCCATTTGGAGCTGTAGATGCCAGCTAATGGGGGCTACTGTTATTACTGTCATCAAGCAGTAGAAATCCAGTTGGTGCCCCCATGTGCCCCACATCACCTTTACCCAAGTGACACCCTGTTGGGTGAGGGCCCACGTCATTGTGGTTTGAGAACAAGGAGGCGGATCTGATGCCAGAGACTCACAGCTTGGCTCAGGCCAGGCAGCCAGGACTCCAACTCAGGCCCCTGCTACAAATGTGGTAGCAGCTGCTGAACCAGGAGGATGGAGAAGGGAGAGGTTCCTTCTGACTGAGGAGACAAAAGAGCTGGCATCTGGACTAAACTTGGAAAGATGGCTCAGAGCGGGAGGAAGCCTGGCAGCCTACGAGACAAGCCTGGGAAAGTGTTTCTGGGCCAGAGGAGCAGGTGCACCAGTTAGAACCCCCCTGAGGGATAGGGAAGGTACAGAAAAGTGGCTTAAGACAGATTTATACTGACTTTAAGAAAGTCCAGCCGAAAGCAGTTTGGCTCAGTGGATAGAGCGTCAGTATGCGGACTGGAAGGTCCCGGGTTTGATTCCAGTCAAGGGCATGTACCTTGGTTGCAGGCACATCCCCAAAAGCGGGTGTGTAGAAGGCAGCTGATTAATGATTCTCTCTCATCGATGATTCTAACTCTCTATCCCTCTCTCTTCCTCCCTGTGAAAAATCAATAAAATATATTAAAATAAAATTTAAAAAAGAACATCCAAATCTGTAGAGAATTTGAACCAAAACGGATGACAATTGCCAGGAAGCAAGATCCCCAAAGCTCCAGAGAAAGACAGTTTTTCAGTTTCTTCTGTGCATTTGAAGTTAAGGATGGAATGTAAGGAAAATTACATGAAGGTGGGATAAGGCAAGATGGGGAGTGGATGACAGGATAATTAACAATTATGTGCTCTCTTGAGGGTGGTTGTACTTATTTCAGAGGTGTGTTAACCTACACACACGAAAACAATGGATAGGGCTTGCTTAAGGCAAAGATGAACCTTTTATTAAAAGTTACATGCCTGGGGTGTGACTACCCACCATGACCTACTTAATGAGGAATTTATCGTCAGATCACTTTGTGAGGTTACTTCCCATAGAACCTGGTTTCCATACACACTTATTTAGAGTCAAATAGCAGCATAGTGACTCCATCCTTTAAATCTCTATATATAATATTAAAGGCTAATATGCTAAGTGTCCGACAGTCTGACCATCCACTATGATGTACACTGACCACCAGGGGACAGACGCTCAACATAGGAGCTGCTGTTTACAGTGAAATGACGCCTTGGATCTGGTGCCCACAAAGCAACACTCAGCTTCTCCCCAGTGGGACACAGGCCATGCCACCAACTTGTAGCCGGCAGAGATCCCCATGGTGCAAAATGTGGCCCACAGCCCAGACCAGCCCAGAAACAATGGCTGTGGTTGCCGGGTAATGATGTCATGTAGTAATGCCCGGCT